TGATATAAAGACATTTTTGCATTAATGATAGGGACTTATGTTGTCATTACCCAAGTCCTTTGAGGTTTAAATCTAGTGCCAAAATTGGAGCAAATCTTCCTAAGTTCTATGTGCAGCGATCAGTGTATCCATGTTTATTAACTGAACTATGTGAATGTAGCATGACTCTAGGTTCTGTCAGGCTTGAAAAGTCAAGATTTCTGTCACACGATTTACTGTTTTACCCCAGGCATGAGAAAAACCTAAGGTTCAATTATTAATGTTATTGAAAGCGCGGTTCTTGTCCCCTATGCCAATCCAATAACGAGGACACTGTTGTGAGAAAAAAGAAAAATAAGTTTTATTGCTTTACTAGGAAAGGAGAAATACCGGGGACTCACGTCCTAGAGGCTGTGATTCTGCCCATCAGGGAAAACAGAAGGCTTTAAAAGAAGCTATTCAAAGGTACCTTGGCAGAGGGGTCACAGGTGCATCCTGATGGTGTGTTGAGATTCACTTCGTTAATTTGGGAAATAGTCACTTCCTAGATCTTCCAATAACATCTCCTTCCTTTGGAGGTCAGATAACTCAAGGTAATCTTGTTCCTCACCTCCAGGTTAGAAAGGGGAAGGGAGAAGAAGAAAAGAAAAACACAGCCCTTTTAAAATAAGATGCAAGGGCTATAGTCAAAAGGTGAAATGGATCACTATTACATTAGGAGAAAGCAAGTCCATGAGAGTAAGCCCATTGTTTTTCTGGATTGGGATTTCTTCACCTGTAGACTAGAAAATGATAATAATGATAATAATAGTAGTAAAGGCTCTTCAGGATTTGTATGAGAATACTCTGTAAAATAAATGGTAGTTTAAAGTTATTTTTTAAAACTTGGATTCTTTGCTCAAATCCCATCTTTGCCACTTATTGTGTGTAATTTGGAATAAGTTACTAATGTCTGTAGCTTGTAAAATGAAATTGGACCAGTAAACCTATAAGATTAAATTCTATGCTAACACTCAATGGTACATATGCTAAAGTAATATTGACTATAGACATAATTGAAGTCACTAAGAGAATGGTGTTAAGGAAATAGATCTTACTAGAATGGAGAATGCATATTAGAAAATGTGAAGAAATAAGACTAAATAGATTGGGTGAGGCCAAATTTTGAGAGACCTGAAAATTAGGGAGGAGATAATGGTTTGCAAAATGTAGTTATTTGAACAGACAAATTGACAGAAAATGGAAGAGAGATTGCTATGTGTTGCGGAGAGGAAAGGAGGAAGGAATATTGTATAATGGAAGCAGAATTTCTGTCATTTTGTTAGGGTGTACAGGGGAGGGGATATTTGTTGTTAATGGGTGCAGATAATGAAAAAGTTTTGGGTATAGATTGTGGTCATGGCCACATAACATTATGAATATATTTAATGTCACTGAATTGAACATGGTGAATACTTACGATGGTAAGTAGTATATGTATTTTACAATAAAAATGTAGTTTCTTGGGTCTGGGTTTGTGGCTCAGCGGTAGAACGCTCGCCTAGCACAGACGAGGCCCAAGGTTTGATCCCCAACACCACATAAAAATAAATAAATAAAGATATTGTGTCCTACTACAACTAAAAATGAAATTTTTAAAAAAATGTAGTTTCTTGGCTAGAGGAGTGACATAATGAAACTAGTATTTTAAGAAAATGAATCTGGCAGTGATAGCCAGAGATAAGCAGTAAGAGTGATTGGTCAGAGAGACAAACTAAGGAGCAATTGTAATGTAACTAAGACATCCTAAAAGTCTCAAAACGAATGTGGCATCAGTGGAAATGGAAAGAAAGTGGGTAAATATGAGATATATCTTATAGGGATATTTAACACGAAGAAATATACTGTAGTTTTAAAAACATGGAGCTAGGCCAGGTTTGTTGGCCCACCCCTGAAATCCCACGGACTTGGGAGGCTTAGGCAGCAAGATTACAAGTTCAAGGCCAGTCTCAGCAATTTAGTGAGGCCCTAAGCAACTAAGTGAGACCCTGTCTCAAAATAAAAATTAAAAAGGGCTGAGGATGTTGCTCAGTGGTTAGCACCCCTGGTTTCAAAGCCCCAGTTTAAAAAAACAAACAAACAAAGACAAAAACAAAACAAAACAAAAACCATAGAGCCCATCTGTCTGGATTTGAGTCCAGGCTCTGCCAGTTACCAGATGAGTGACCACAGACAAATTATTTTACTTCACTGGACCTCAGTTTTCAACATTATAAGAGCTATAATGCTACTCACATGAATTAATCCATGTAATGTACTATGCACTTAAAACAATGGCAAACATTTGGCATTTGGTAAGTACTAGCTATTCATGTGCTGACAATATGTTGACATTCATTTCAGTAAAAGGAAAATCAAGTTCTAAGAAATAGATGCAGAAATAAATTCTAAGGCAGTTTTCACAGAGGGGGAAAAAATAAAAACCAAAAGAATTCTATGGAGAAGTTCAATTCTGGGACCTTTCCTTGACCATAATTTGAAGCTCATGGGCTGAAGGAGATGGTTAATACTAAGAGGTTATCTCTGTGGCTGTGGCCTCTGGGACACAAGAGGCAGGCATTACTTTGCTTGATGTCTAGACAGGAAAAAAATGCATGAGTTCTAACTGAAAGAGGCAATTGCACTTTAAATGGACCTTTGCCTGGAAGGGTTTATTTGGCCAAAAAGTTTGACATTCCTGTATATACAACTAAATAACTGTTCTTTCATTTCAGTACTTCTGTTTAACTGGCAATAATTTGATTTGAGAACAATTATGAAATATTGGTGACCATGGAGCTGGTCATCTTTAGTGAAAATCCATACCCCTAGTCTGCTGTTTACTTTAAATAGAACAATAAAAATAAAAAATGAAAATAACCCAGCAATGACAAAAGTCTAATATTTGTTGAGTGCTTTTTATGTATTAAGCACTATGCTAACTGCTTTACATATATCATAGATTTTATTTAATCAAATGAGATTTGAATATTATAGATGAGGATATTGAGTCTTAGGGTAAATAATTTATCTAAAATAATCATTGTAGTGCCAGGATTCAAACTCAAATGTCTCTTGATACCCAAGTCCAGGCTTCTACTCATTACACACTATACTTTACAATGTAGTGTTAGTTGGGGCTTTAGCTAAGTGATAGGGTGCCTGTCTAGCATATGTGAGGTCCTGAGTTTTATACTCATTTGATACTCAGC